TTTGTTTTGATACTGAAACTGTCTCACATTTAGTCAATGGAAGCCCCTTGAAATTGGCCAGTATGTCTTTTTGTCATGACCTCATCCTCTCTTGAGTGTCCTGTTCATTCCTGATGAAGATATTCAGGCTTACCTTGTACCTTCCAACATAGAGTAAACAGTGATTGATATGCAAAATTCTGCCACCAGGATTGTGCCTGCTCTAGTTTGTTTGGCAAACTAAATGCTTAGAATTCATCAGATTTTCAACTAATGTGGTCAAACTAATTAACACATAAATTCTATTCCTTGGACTCCCACCAATCAGATTGCTTCTTAGGTAACATGACAATGTGTGTTGTGAAAACTCCAAATCTTAAAATCATGCCCAGTTCTGCCACCGTCACTTCTCTGAGGCTTACTTTCCTCATTTATCAAAGAAGGTGAGAAATGGCAGCCTCTGCAAAATTATCACAGAGAATTTTAAGAACTTTCTTAAAAAAATACATGGTTTTTTTGGTGATACTAGGATTTGAATTTTAGGCCTTGTCCTTGTTGGCAGGTGCTGGATCAGTTAAGTCACATATCTTCAGCCCTTTTTGCTTTATTTTTCAAATAGGATCTTACTTTTTGTGTGTGGCCAACTTTAGACCAATAAATATCCTCCTACTTAGCGTCTCCTACATAGCTGAGATGACAGTGTGTGCTTCCACACTAGGCTTACTGCTTGAGATGGAGTCTTGCTAACTTTTCCCAGGCTAATCTTGAACTGAACATCCCTCAATTTCTGTCACCTGAATAGCTGGGACTATGAGTATGAATCACTATGCTCAGCCTCAAAATATTTTTGATGAAAAGTATAATTCTGTCAATATTAGTATCATCAAATGTGTTAGTCATTATTCCTATCTTTTGTCTTTCTCTGAAGATAGCCATTAAATTATTTTATTATTGACATTTGGAAAACTAAAGAAAGATTGTATTTAAATGACAAACTCAAGGTCAGATCATTAAGGAAGGAAAACCAGAAATAGATCTGTGATCTCTTGATAGCATTTTTTTCTCAACTAGGATAATTAAATTAGAATGTAACAAGGCAAATCAAGGGTACCCAATAAGAACTTCCAAATCATTGAGTCCCTCAGGATACTTGAAGAAAATCTATTTATTAGGTAGCTTTTAAATTAGCATGAAGCCTAATCCCCATGCTGCTCACATGAGACCTGAAAAACCTGATTTTTAGGAACTATTCAGTCTATGTAATTGGTTGGTTTCTTTTGTTCATGTCTTTCAGGCCAGAGAGGGCAACTTCTTTGTGCCAATTGGTATTATGGACTTTTATGTATAGCCTTAAAGGAAACAGAAGCAAAACTGTTTTCCAATCACTAGAATTTGTGAGTAATGTCCTATTATGTTCTTTTATTACCTGTTTCCACTTTTATTTTACAAAGATGTACTGGATGCCAACTGAGATGGCATCCAGTGTGGCATACACCTTGTTGTGTGACCACAAAAACTCCAAAGTGAATAATTTACTACTACTCAGCATCTATTTCATGGTCTATTATGGAGAAATATGGAACAGTCTTGGGGTTTACAATAACTAGTTTAAAGTGAGATCATTTAATTTGTTCAGTTGTTCTGGCTAAAGTGTGAAATAGGTTGAAAGTTGAGTTTAACAGGGTTGAGTTTCTTTCTAAGCAAGTGTCTTGGAAGATGAGAAGGACAAGGAAGTGATTGTAATTATAAATGAGTGGTTCTCAATCCCTTTGATCTTAGGGAACTTTTATATACTTAAAGCCTTCAAAGAGCTTTTATTTGTTAAGCTAGCACTGGTGGCTCACACCTGTAATCCTAGCTACTCAGGAGGCTGAGACTTGAGGATTGCGGTTCAGCCTGAACAGCAAAGTCCATGAGACTCTTTATCTCCAATAAACCACCAGAAAACCAGAAGAGTCGTGGTGGCTCAGGTGGTAGAGTGCTCACATTGAGGTGAAGAGCTGAGGGACAGTGTGTCCAGGCCCAGAGTTCAAGCCCCACAACGGACAAAAAATTTTTTTTAAAAAATTAAAAAAGAGCTTTTGTGAATTATATCTGTCCATATCATCATAGTAGAAATTAGAACTTAGTAAAAATGAATCTGTAAGCACATATTCCATGGAAACAGCCAAATGTTCATGAACAGATAAACAAATAAGTTGGTATATGCATACAACAGAATTCTGAATTTAAAAGAAAGACAAGAGACTGATAAATTCATGCCATTTGTAACACTATGAGTGAACCCAGAAGACATTTTGCTAAATGAAATAAGGCAGCTACAAAAGGACAATACTAGCCAGGAACCAGTGTCTCTGCCCTATAATCCTAGCTACTCAGGAAACTGAGGAGGCTGATTTCAGAAGATCTGTTCAAAGCCAGCCCAGAGAAAATCTTTTTCTCCAGTTAGTCAGAAAAAAATCAGAAGTGGAGGTAGAGTTGTAGAGTACCAACCTTGAGCAAAAAGCTAAGCAACAGTGAAAAGCTCTGAAGCTCCAGTACCAGCACAAAAAAAGACTACTACATGATTCTGCTTATATGAAGTATCTAAAATAGAATGCATACAAGCAAAATCTAGGATGACAGGGGCTGGAAGTAGATAATGGAGAATTATTGCTCATTGAGTATATTTCAACCATAAGATCAATAAGATAACAAGTACTAAAAATCTTCTGTACATAGTGCCTATACTTAATGATGTGTATTATACACTTAGGCTTTTGCTAAGATAGAACTTATGTTCTTAAGAGAAGAACAGTGAAAGAGAGAAAAAGACAGAGACAAAGGAGGAAGAAACACAAGGAAATTTTTAGTGGTGTTAGATTAACGTACATAGTCTCTGGAAAGTTCTACTTGGAAAAGATGAGTATACAAAGGAAAAATAATGTTTAGTGTTGAAAGGTTTCTAGGACCCAGACTATGCTCTGAGAACTACTAACTGTATAATTTTTCCAATTTTTTTATATGTTAGAAATTGGACCTAGGGGCCTCATACACACTAAGTATATATGTACTCTGCCATTGAGCTACACCTTTATCTTATATCCATTTTATTAGTAGTGGACTTTTAGATAAGTTCAAATTTTCATTTATTATAAATACTTTTCCTGTGGGTATTCTTCTACATAATGCTACATAATGCTAATGCACATGTATAAGAATGTCTCTGGAGGCTGGGAAGGTGGCTTAGTGGTAGAGTGCTTGCCTTGCATGCATGAGGCCCTGGGTTCAATTCCTCAGCACCACATAAGCAGAAAAAGGAGGAAGTGGCCCTGTGGCTCAAGTGGTAGAGCGCTAACCTTGAGCTGAAGAGCTGAGGGACAGCGCCCAGGCCCAGAGTTCAGGCCCCACGACCGGACCCAAAAAAAAAAAAAAAAAAAGAATGTCTCTGGGGTAAGTGTGCTTGCACATGCCTTCAATGGTCATTTTTCTCTATTCTCATGGGCACACCTAAGTGTGGAGTTGGGTCTTACAGCTCAATAATTTTCTAGTGACTTAGATTCCCATCAGTAATTTTGAGTTCTGAATAATTTCATCATTATTAGGTATTGTCAGTTATTTTAATTTTGGTGGTTTTTGTTGGAGGTACAGTTCTAATTTATGGGGGGGGGGGGTTTGTTTTGTTTTATTTTTGTGTGTCGTGGGGCCTAAACTCTGGGCCTGGGTACTGTCTTTCAGCTCTTCAGCTCAAGGCTAGAGCTCTACCGCTTGAGCCACAGTGTCACTTCCTACTTTTTCTGTTTATGTGGTGCTGAGGAATGGAACCCAGGGCCTCATGTGAGGCAAGCACTCTACCATTGAGCCACCTTCCCAGCCCCTAATTTATGTTTTAACAAACTTTTCAGCAACTTTTATTTGCTTACTGATTATTTGTACATTAATTTTTGTGAATATCTCTTCAACTCTTGTCTATTTTTAAGTTTTAGGCTGTCAGTCTTATTATGATTTTTAGTTATTTATATTAATCTAGATGTGTTTTTTGCATGTTTTTATTTTCTTAAATATTTTGATGAAGAATTTTTGTTTTTTATTTTCTTTGTTTTTTAGTTCTGGGATTCATACCTAAAACCTAACACATGGTAGACAAATATTCTGTCACTAAAGCCACATGTCCAGCTTAGAATTTTTTTCCTTTTAATAAAGTTAGATATATAATTTCTCTTTCATAATTTTAGTGTTTTTGTTTCTTGTTTAATAAATCTTTGCCCCTACCTTGTTCTCTAGTTAGGTCTATGTCATTTCCTCTCATCTACCCTCATGATCTATTATTCTTGGTTAGACATACATCAATATTCAGTTTTCTCATGAGAGTTCCTCCCTGCCTTTGCATCTGTATTCTCACAAGCTTTTGTCCTTGTTTTCCTTTTGGGAGGGACTCAGAAAGTTCCTTTTTGAGATTTGAACTCATGGCTTCTCTCCTTGCTAGGCAAACACTCTGCAAATTGAGTCTTTTTCCCCCCTGGCCTATTTGTTATCTTGATGATTGCCATCCTGACTAAGGTGAAATGGAATCTCACTGTTTAGATTAGCATATCCTTTATGACTAAGAATTTGAACATTTCTCCATGTGTTCATTGACCATTTTTACTTCTTTCAAAAACTATTCAGCTTATCTGCCCATTTAATAATTAGGTTATTAATTGAGATATTTTGGTGTTAAATTTTTTTAGTTCTTTACATATTCTGAATATTATCTGATTAGTAACTTACAAAGATTTTCTATTTTATGCTTTAAATTTAATGTTTTTAATTTTAATGTTTTCATCCCATATCTGCTAGACAGATAATTTAAAACTTTCAATTGTAGACAATGTAAATTAAATTTTCTTTTGCTGTTGTCTAAACAGTTAGGTCAAAGGCCAGAAAACTAGCTTCCTGGGATGTAACTACTCATGCCAGAGCACAGTCATTTTATTTTCTTCTTTGGGGGGACAGGAATGCAGAGAGATGAAGAGGTGATAGAATGAGTCTTTTTCTTGCAGTTGTGATTCCAAAGAATCCCTATCCAGCATCTGAAGTGAACTCTGAGAAGCCCAGCATCCACAGCAGCAAAACTATCTTGGAGCATCAACCAGGGCAGAAGGGACGTAAACCAGGAAAGAAGAGGGGCCGAACACCTAAGACCCTTATTGCCCATACCATCTCTACCCAATCCAAGTCAACTGAACCTTTGAAATTCCCAAAGAAGAGGGGCCCCAAACCTGGCAGTAAGGTAGGTAAAAATGCACTTCCCAGAAAAGTATAAGGGGTTAGAAAAGAGTAATTCACCAGGCTCAGGTGTCTCACACCTATAATCCTAGTTCATGGTTTGAAGCCAGTGTGGTCAGGAAATTCTGTGAGACTCTTACCTCTAATAAACTACTATAAATCTGGAAATAGAGCTGTTGCCCAAGTAGTAGAGCACTGTCCTTGAGCAAAAGAAGCTCAAAGATAGAGCCCAGGCCCTGAGTTCAAACTCAGCACAAAAAGGGGGAGTAATTTATATTCATATCCATTCATCTTTAAAAGAGCCCTATTCTACCTCCACATGATTTTAAAAAGACTACCTTAGTTTATCATTTCTTCCCAGTACCTACATATAATTTGGTAATATTAGAAAAAGGAGAGTAGTGATAGGAAACAAATTTTGACTTGAAAATTATATAACTTCCATAGATAGAAGGCCCTGCTTCTAATTAACTTTCCCAGAGTAGATGCCCAGCAAATAGAGGAAATTAATTCTTTGAATGTGTTTATTTTTGCTATCCCTACCTCCTCTTCTTAAAAAAAAATACTACCTATTTAGTGTCAGACTCTATATTAGATGTCAATACTTACATATCATAAGATCTCAGAATTCTGGGAGACAGTGTTAACATTATTTTATTAAGTAAATTAGCAGATACAGGAAATATTTTTCCTAATGAGTGGCAAATTCTACATCCATTGCTTCCCAAATCTTTTATCTCCAAGGTCACTGCTGCCCTACTACATGTTCACTCTTAAGCAATATAACACTTGTACTGGGAAAGACTGATGAATCAAGCCTTACTAAACATGAACTTAGTCATGCTAGTTTTCATGAGTATCTTCTCTAAGAAAAACATTGGTGTGAAAAGGTTTCTCAGTAGCATCTCTAAGACTTCTTTAACATCACCTCCTCCACTCACTTCCTAACTATAGAGACTTCTTGAAATACCCTTCTTGAACTAGAATATTTGTGTTTTGGTGTGGAAATGATGCCTGGTTTTCTGTGGGCAGTCAGTTTCAGTATCATATTCTTCAGGACTGGTTAGTTGACTGGTTTGTTGATCTGTTTTGTTCATTTAGTAGTCCTATCTTCAGTGCTCATAGAATATAAGCTTCTCAAGGTCAATACCCCAATCTTTTCCTTTTCTTTTTTTTTCTTGACTACACTATATCTCAGTCTTTTAGATTATCAGTATACACAGGACGGATGGATGGTTTTAGGGATGGATAATACCAATCCCAGTTGTCTCTTATTTACTGACTTGGAATTCTCAATGTTACTTTCTCCTATATAATATATAATGATGTTTCTTATCTAGTACCACTATCCCTAAACCCAGTTTTGAGTCATTTTTATCTCTGTTAGACTCCCCTCTTTCTCATGTTGTGTAGAAGTTGAGTGTACTAAGGATGCTAAGGCTAGAAAAAGCATGATTTTGATTATGTAGACACATAATGAATGTAATCAAAAGATGGAAAAAACATATCTGAGAAATTCTAAAGACAGAATCAGAACCAATAAACAAATTTAAATTACAGGTCTTGCTCTCAACAAAGAAGGATCAGTTAGCGCTATCTCAACATAGAAGGAACAGTTAATGAGTCCCTGCTACTAGAGAAATTTTATCAGGAACTAGATGACTCTTTAGGAGTAATATTTTCATAAAGAGGGAGGTAGAAGTACTGGCTGGATAGCTAGATTAAATGGCTGTTAAGACTTCAAAACCTAAAAACTTCGATTATTACTGCTTCTGCTATACTCCCCCCAGAGTATCCTTTGCCCTTGTATTAGTATGCATTAGCAATATGAGGGGGGATTTCATAATGAGATTTCCACTCATGTACACATTCTTTTTTCTTATGTGTGCCCCCACAATTTCAAGAAATTTCATCTATTTGAATAGTATCAATTCACACTTTCATGAAAGAGCCCAAATCTCTCACATTAATACCCCCCCAATAGTCCCGACTTTTCTTTCTCCTCCCCTACTTTCCTGTTGATCAACAACTTTCATTTTTATGCTGTTTTTTATGCTGTTTTCTATATACAGTTGCAGTGTATCTCAAAATTATTTACTTGTTTTTCCCTCCTAGTCTTTCCGTCCTTCATGAAAGCAGTCATCATTCTTACCATATCCTGTATTTTGTGTACTGGCATTTGAATGATTCCCCTTCCTGTTATTTTGCCTAATTCCATAAAAGTATGTGCCTTCTGTGTAGCCCATGATTCTTTACATTCTTTTTTGAAGCAAAAAGGAAGACTTTTGAAGCCAGGCAGATTTAGTTTTAGGTCTTATCTATGTTTGTGGCCACTTATGTGATCTTAGGAGAGCTTCGTTGGGTCAGTCTCTATGCCTCATTTTTCTCCCGTATAAGAACAGGATGAGGTAAGCTGCATGCCAGTGGCTCACACCTGTAAGCCTAACTACTTTCAATATTGAAATCTGAGGACTGCGGTTCAAAGCCAGCCTGGGAAGGGAAGTCCATAGGATGTATCTCCAATCAACCACTAAAAAGCTGGAAGTGGGGTTGTGGTTCAAGTGATAGAGCACTAGCCTCAGACACAGCAGTTCAGGAACATGGCCCAGAGTTCAGGCCCTAAGATCAGAAAAAAAAGAAAAAGAAAAAATAGAGATGAAGTAATGTGTGAAGAGCTACAAAACATGAAAGGTCACCTATCTCAAACTGTAATAATACTTTTCATCTTTCTGCTTTCTTTCAAAATACTCAGGCACCTAACACCAGACTTGCTCCTTCAGAAACTGAAATCTTGCCACAAACTGATTGAAGTTTAACTATAATTACCATATTGCCACAAACTGATTGAAGTTTAACTATAATTACCATATTGCCACAAACTGATTGAAGTTTAACTATAATTACCATATTTTTCACCCAAAAATGTAAGCAGTCATCTATTTCTAATGAGGGTTTACAACATGGCCTTTCCTAGGCAAGGCCATCTGATATATGCCTGTTGCCATCAGTGTGATCTCCTTATACTGTGTCCACAGAAAGCAGATTTATATAGCTCCTGACAGTAGACCGTATATGAGACACTTAATGAAAGGCACTTAGTTAATTCCTGTGATAATTGTGGTAGCTTTGCATTCAGAAAGGCTCTTAAAAAAATGTTTCTTGGGCTGGGCACCAGTGGTTCATGGCTGTAATCCCAGCTACTCAAGAGGCTGAGATCTGAGGATCACGTTCAAAGCCAGCCCGAGCAAGAAAACCTATGAGACTTTTATCTCCAATAAAACAGTAGGAAACCGGAAGTGGCCCTGTGGCTCAAGTGGTAGAGCGCTAGCCTTGAGCTGAAGAGCTGAGGGACAGTGCGCAAGCCCAGAGTTCAAGCCCCATGACCCACCAAAAAAAAAAAAAAGTTTCAAGACCTTTCTTCCCAATATTGCCTTGAATAGCATAGATTTCTCTCAGGTTCTCTTTATTACTCCCCTATTATTGATTATCTATTTTGTATGCTTCATGAAAAACTTGTATTAATACAGATTCAAACCCTTAAACAGCTTCAGGCTAATAGGGGCACCAAAATCTGAACGTGTATTGACAGTACATCGACAAATGGAATAAACAAAGTACTATGAAGGAGTTATCAAAGAAGTAGTAGAGGAAAACTTAGGGAGGCTTCCTAAATGAACAGAAATTTGTAAAGCAAATAAAAGAAGCAAGGGCATAGACTGAGCATGACTCAAGAAATTGAGTGCTTCCTACTAAGCAAGAGACCCTGAGTTCAAACCCCAGTACCACCACACAAAAAATAAATAAATGAACAAGAACAGGAGAGACAGTTTAATCCTGTGAAGGTATGGGCCAGATAAAACTGTACTTCATATTTCTAGAGAAATAATATAATTAGAAATTATTAGAGTGGGATGTTTAAAGGGAGGGCAGGAAATAAGCTGAAAAGGAAGTAGGCAGAAGAAAGTATTTTATAGAGTTATGAGGGACATTTCCATTTAAAGAGAAACAAAGTATAAAAACATACCATATGTTCTCCTTTTTTATTTTAATCCACCCAGTTTATTATAAAGGATCTCAAATTTTATATGGTAATATTAAATGTTAATGCACTGTAAAAGTGCAGTAAGCTCCGTCTTCAGAAAATCAGCATTGTGTACATAGATTCAAAAAATGTTAAGCATTCACTGTATATATAACTTTGAGCAAGTTGCTGAGTGAAAAATAAAGATAAAATGAAGTTATACCTACAAATACATTTTTATATCATAGGTGAATTAATTACTAGAAATAGAGGAATTAGATGGCAAATTACTGATCACAGGTAGCAAACTTTTCCCCATCCATTTTAACAGAGGAAACCTCGGACTTTGCTGAGCCCACCACCCACTTCACCAACAACCAGCACCCCTGAACCGGATACCAGCACTGTCCCCCAAGATGCTGCTACCATCCCCAGCTCAGCCATGCAGGCCCCCACAGGTAAGAGAGGCTGGAACTAGCTACAACAAGCCCCAAGCCCCAGTGACTTACACTTCCTCTTGTCTTTTACCTGAAACTTAACCCCTGCAAATTTGTAAACCTAGATGCAGTTTTTCTCTAAATGTTTTGTCTTTGGCATTTGAAAGAGTCTTAGAGAAACTTTCATTCTATCACAACAATCAGAAGCTTGGGTAAGTGTTCTTCTGAGGAACTGGGGCCAGCTGGGGAGAAAAGAGGAAGCACCTGGAGCTCCCTGACCCAGTTTAGAATATTACTCATTCTGCCCAGTTAGGGGTACTCTCAATGATCCCTTCTACCATCCAGTACCCTTCTAGCCTTCCAGTAGTCCTGTCATGATTCAGATATGTATGAAACTCTTCTGACTGAGGACAGGGGATAGTACTGGGGTTTAAACTTAGGGCTTTGCTCTTGCTCAGCAGGTGTTCTATCATTTGAGCCATTCCTCCAGCCCCTTATACATTGGTTATTTTCAAGATAGGGTCTCAGTTTATACCCAGGCCAGCTCAGACTATAATCCTCCTATTTGTGTTTCCCTTTGTCACTGAGATGACAGGAACACACCACTACACCCAACCATTGTGCTTCCCCTACAGCCATTGGTCAAGATGGAATCCCACAAATTTGTATATCCAAACTGTCACAACCCTCCATCTCTGCCTCCCAAGTAGCTACAGGTTACAGGCTTGAGCCACCATGCTCAAGCCCTTCTTACTCTTTTAAAACAATCATTGATGGTGCTAAACATTCAGTGAGAGTGAATTTGATTTTTGAGATCATCCACTAACTGGTTGATTCAAAACAAAATCTGGTAACTGAGTAGGATGATACAAATCTGTTAGAGTTTTATGTATATGTGTGAGTGTGTGTGTGTGTATATATATATATATATATATATATATATATATATATATATATATATATATATCCCCATTTTATAAACTACCTGGGAATATAACTGTAGAAGAACTATGCCTTTAGAATAAATACACATATTTTATATGTAAATTAAAGTGTTTGTGTGTGAAACTTTTCTGAATTATTCTATAGATACTGCACCTTCAGAGATGTCTAAACAACCAGAATGATTCTCAGGGTATTCTTTATCTTAGGACAAGTTAAATAATCTCTACCCAAATCCTAAAATGTTAATCCTAAAAGGGAAGGTCCAGCCATAGTTTACTCTCTAAATAACCTGTAGAAAATAAGTCTGCCTATGGCATGTATGTCCAGCTCTATTAAGAATCCTTTCACATGATTTCTCCACTTATAATCTTGCTTCTAGCTCCAGCCATTTACTGAGTTTGTTTAGGCTAAGAGTGTCATTAGGTTAATGAAGAGAAGACTTTGCCTCCTAAACTCCAAAAATTAGAGAGTAAGGACAGATAAGCACTTTGGTATAAGTACTGATTGCATCTTCCAACTTCGTAACATGCTCCCTCAATGCCTGGTTACCTGCTGATTTAGCCTGTATCATTCTAGATACACCAAGGTGCTGGTGTGCCATTCTAGTAGTTCCTAAAAGACCCACAGCAGCTATCTTACTGTTTCTTTTAATTGATATAACCCTTTTCTGGTTGCCATCACCAGGTTCACCCTCCCATGCACTGAGTCCCACAGTCCAGGGAAAGTGGAAACATTTGCTGTCTATCCCTTTCTCCTACTCATGTTTGGCCATCAGTCTTTAAGGTCATAGTATCACTATCTCTTATTTGAACTGTGGCACATTCTGTGTGATGTTGATATCACATCTGTTCCTCACTGAGCCTCTCTACCTAGGATTAATCCAGGTTACTTGTAAAGTCCCTTTAGTAGCAAAAATAAGAGTGCTTATGGATTAGATGCTATCCACTATCCTTTATGTCATACCTTTTGTTTAACTGTACAAACTTTTTTTTGCCAGTCCTAGGGCTTGAACTCAGGGCCTGGGCACTGTCCCTGAGCTTCTTGTGCTCAAGGCTAGCACTATACCACTTGAAAAAGCCACTTCTGGCTTTTTCTGTTTATGTGGTAGTGAGGAATCGAACCCAGGGCTTCATGCATGCTAGGCAAACACTCTACCACTAAGACACATTCCCAGCCTAACCGTACAAACTTTTGAAAAAAAAATTCAGCATTATACTCATTCATAATTTAAAGGAAAAAAACATCTCTTTCCAAGACTTAGTAATCTTGTAACAAAACAAGCAGACCTCCCAGTCTCAATAGTTCTTATTCTTTTATTTACCTCCATATATCTAGATAACATGTGGTATTGCTAGGAATTTTCTTTTTTGTTTTAGACATTTTTCTTCTGACCACACTCATTTTAGAAGATGAAGGTTTAACTCTCTTTATCTCTTTGCCTCTTACCCACTTGCTCATACTTCCCTAAACAAATACTATTATTTAATGGATCAAAATTTAGTATTTTATTACTATAAAATTAAGTGTTATTCTCAATTGAGCCATGAGGTACACTGTGATAACTTTTCTTTTACTGCATATTTTTGTTTTCAGTGAACTCTTACTGCTTTCTTTGTAATATGTTTTTCTTTGTACTTTCTTATTAATTTTATTAACATAAAACTCTCTTCCTACTGTGCATAACTCTTTCTGTTCAAGTACAATATATATTAGCCCCATATCAAACTGTAGAAGAATAATCTCTTTGGAGGCCTTTTGAGTTTCTTTAGATCCTTTTCACCTTCATTGCCTGGCCCAAGTTTAGCTGCTTACCACACAACAGGCCAATTAAGTCTGGAGACAAGGTGTTGAGGCAGTAAAGGTGACTTTATTCAAAAGGCCAGCTAGATGAGAAGTAGGAGATTCTTATCACAAAACCCATCTTGCTGGGAAGCTGTTCAGGATTGGTTTTTCTAGGTAGTTGCTGGATGTTTCCAGATTGGTGGGTACCTTCTCGAAGTGGGTGGGCCAAGTGATTTACATCTGATCCTTTATTGTCTGAGATGCTTCTGAGTTCTACACAAAGATTTTTTTTTTTTTTTGTCAGTCGTGGGGCTTGAACTCTGGGCTTGGGCGCTGTCCCTCAGCTCTTCAGCTCAAGGCGAGTGCTCTTCCACTAGAGCCACAGCACCACTTCCGGTTTTCAAGTGGTTTATTGGAGATAAGAGTCTCACGGACTTTCCTGCCCAGGCTGGCTTTGAACAGCGATCCTCAGATCTCAGCCTCCTGAGTAGCTAGGATTACAGGCGTGAGCCACCAGCGCCTGGCTACACAAAGATTTTTATTTCCTCAGGATATCCTTGTCACTGAATAGTTTACTCATGTGCAGTTCCTGGCATATTACACAATGGACAGGCTGGAGCTGGAAGCTGCCCTGAGGCCTCTTGCTTATTGCCAGACATCATGACAACATCCTTAATGCTTAGCTTCAATCTCTCTTTTTGGTTAGATTCTTAGTTTGATTATCCCCATGTCTTTATTTTATCAAATAAAGCTTTCTTAGAATTGCATCCTTAATTTTGTATGGCACCTTGTTTTGTTCCCTTTGAATCCTTTCTCTATCCACCACCTCCCCATTCCAAGATTTTTACCTTAGGTTTATGTTGACTTCTCACATTAGACACTTTCATTTATAATTTTTTCTTAAATTATTTACCCAGTGAGTTTCCCCTCTTCCTTTGTCTTTGCTGACTCATTCTAACATAACTGTTACCCAGATGTCATTGCTCAAATATCCATATCCCTCTTTTTTCTTATTCCTATTCTTTGTCATTTTATTAACTTTCTCTGAACTTTCTTCTTTATCTTCCAAACCTTGTATTGAGGTTTTTGCTCCTGCCAGCTTACTTTTAAAATTGTTATTTATTATCCCAAGGGCATTTCCTAAAATGTATTTAGTAGAAACACCAGTCCTGAAAAATGTTGTGCATAAAGAATTCTTACAAACATATAGGGAGTTTAGTCACATTTGTAAAGGTATGTATGTATGTTTATACTAATCCATCAATGCTTAGAGACTTATCTCTTTCATGATCTCTCAATTTTGAATAGATTATTTTTTTTAATTTTTTGTTGTTGTTGGTCGTGGGGCTTGAACTCTGGGCCTAGGCACTGTCCCTCAGCTCTTCAGCTCAAGGCCAGTGCTCTACCACTTGAGCCTCAGTGCCACTTCCAGCTTTTTCTGCTTATGTGGTGCTGAGGAATTGAACCTTATGCATGCAAGACAAGCACTCTACCACTGAGCCACCTTCCCAACCACTGAATAGATTATTTTTTAGAAAGGTTTGAGGTTCACAGAAAAACTGAGTAGAAGGTACAAATATTTCCTCTATACTCCCTACCCCCCATGTATGCAGAGCATCCCTTATCATGAACATCACCCCTGCCCCTGAGAGCTACATATGTTACAATTGATTAACTTACTTGACATGATTAAATATTTCCAAAGCCCATAGTTTGTATTAAGGCTTCCTCTTGATGTTTTATGTTCTGTGGGTCTTGACAGATATGTAAGGACATGTACTAACCATAGTATCATACTCCCTGCCCAAAAAAGTCATCTCGGCATCTCCCCTAACATCTGGAAATCAATGATTATTTTCTTTCTCCATTGTTTTGCCTTTTCCAGAATGTCATGTAGTTGGAGCCATATAGTACATAGCCTTTTCAGATCAGTTACTTTCATTTAGTAATAACCTTTATGTTTCTCCTTTGCTTTTTTTAGGGTAGGGATAAGGATCAAACTTGGGACTTTGTACATGGTAGACAAGTACTCTACTACTGACCTACATCTTTAGCCCCCCTCCCACGTTTGTTTATGGCTTGATAGCACATTCTATAAACATCCATGTGCAGGTTGTTTTAATCAAACTTCTCTAATGACTCATCACGGTGGCTTTATCTGCATTTTTTTGCTTTAGTTATTTATCAAATAGGATCTTGCACATTTTGCCCAGATCTACCTCCAACCACAATCCTCCTACCTACGACTCCAAATAGTGGGATTTACAGTTGTGATCTTCATGTCCAGCTTCTTA